ATATTTTTGATTGAAAATTTTTTTTGATTGAAGATGCTTTTTTGTTTGATTGAATAATAAAAACACAAACTTACCTCCATATTTTGGTAAATTTCAGGTGCTTTAATTGTAACACACAGGCTGCAGCTGCACCTCTCTGGTTTCCGAGGCGCTCGTGAACGCAGCAGGAGGAGCGCGCAGGACGCGGAGCAGCGCTGAGTCCAGCCTCTGGGTGGGGATTTGTGAGATTGATGGTCACCTCCCAGCACTGCTCCATGGACTCTCCCTCCCTCCCTCTCTGTCAGAGCAGGAATGTAGGAGCTGGAGTCCAGTCAGTCCGTGTCTCTGCGCCGCGGAGGAGTGAATCATTTATCGTTGCCTGCGGTAACACGATATTAACGAGCAGGAGGAAGTGATCTGTGCGCGGATACCCACTGCGCTCACTTTTTTTTTTTTTTTTTTGAAGGATTTCTTGTCGTTCTTGGCCCGATCGTGATTATTTTCTCATTTTACTCGACTGGAGAAAAGTTTGCGTTCAGACCAGCTGGAGTCCGCAGATCCGATGGGAAAAAGCTCCTCTGCATCGAGCGCACCTTGGACCCGAAGTCTTCCAGCATGTAAGAGATTTGTTTCCCCTCTATTATTATGTGTTGGCATTATTATTATTTTTTTATCCCAGCACTGAGTGCGTGTTCCTTGAGGTCACCTCTAATCAGAAACCTCTAAGTGTCTCCTGCAGACACCTGAAGTTATGTTTCATCCGTTTTTCTTCTACTTGGCTGTTAATTAACTCGACATGAGCTGCGTTGTTTGAAGTTTCACCACCCCGTGTATAATTGTTTTATAATGAGAAAGTTTATTCGTTTATATGAGTTTGTAGGTTTTATGTTCAAATAGGAGACAAAACGTTATTATAACAACACAATAATTAAAGTTTTCATTATTTCTACTGTATTTATTTACCTTTCTTCCCTTGTGTTAAAAAATGCGTCAACAAAATGCAGAATGGAGCTAATTGAATAATTTTGTTTACTATTATTTACAATCATGCAACGTATAAAATGAAACATTCAAAACTCGCAGGGTGCAGTTCTACTCCAGCAGTTTTAAAAAAAGATATGTTGACTGTAATTTTCAAAATGCAGGTACGCACTCAATGTAAACAAAGCAGATGCTCGAATTGCTGAAAACCAAGTGGAAGCGTAAGTTGTGTGACTGACCTACATTATGCTAGGACCTACACCAGGGCTATTCAACTAAACTGGGGGTGGGGGGCCAAACATTCAGCAATTAAATTATTACAAAGATCTGTTACCTTTGAAATAGTTTATTTTGCTGCATTTAATCGTGAATACAACACACAGAAGCCTATCAAAACATAAATAAATAACACATTATTCTTCCTATTTAAACACAAATATTATTTTTGACAGCTCTGACTTCATTTTCACTTTCATAGTTTTATTTTTAACTGCTTATAGCTTTGACTTTCTTGGATGTTCATAGAAAAGGTTTTTACCAGCTTCTAGCCAAGGTTCGGACGTTTCTGTAGATACCAAACATGTCTATGTTTAACTAAAAGAACTAGTAATTAAAGTAGAAAACCAGGGTTTGGGCTTAAGAGATGAATGAATTGGCGGGCCGAACTTTGGTCACTCGCAGGCCGGACGTGGTCCGCGGACCACCAGTTGAATATCCTTAACCTGCACAGATGATCACCCACACTGTGTAAACAAATGTGTGGAATCTCAAAGAAGACGTTTAGATGAAAATATGAGTGAATCTGCTGCCAAAAGTGAGTAGCTTTTACTCTGAATAACTGGAATAATTCGAAGAAACAAAGTCTGTACCAGGGAGTCCTCGAGGACTACTAACTAGGGATACAAGTAGGCTAAAACAGTTCAAAGTTGGGGTTGGGATCCCTCTGAGGGTCATAAAACATCAAATGTGACTCCCGGAAAATGCAAACAAATTGTTAATAGAATATTTTCACCATAATAAAGCAAAAACGAAACAATAATAATAAAAGTAGTATCATAGTTATTAGATTTGTTGAATTGTTGAGTCCGTATTAAACAGTTTTTGGCAAAGTTTGCTTACGTAAACCACTGCTGTGATCGCACGTTTCTTCACCTGTTATTTTGTGGTCCGGAAGCTAAAATCATTGGGCTTAAACATGCAGGATAGTGGCCCTCCTGGACCAGGACCAGGATCTAAACTCTACAAAAACCTGATCTGAGTGAGTCGTTGATGGAGAGTCGTAAACGGTGTTACTCTTATTGTTGGGCAGATGATGCGTTTGTTAAAACGCGGAGCTCTGCTGGGTTTTCTTGACATTACATAAGCAACGACTTGTTTGCACAGATGATTTGTGAGTCAGTGCTCAGTCTGCCTGCTTCTCTCTTCCTGACAGGGATCCTGACTCGCTGAGAAGGTGAAGACTGCAAGAGTTAAATGCTCGCTTCAAGCCTCGCAGCAACGCAGCAACTGCTCGTCTGAACGCCGTCCCCTCAGCGTGAACCACTCGTGAACCACTTGTTGAGCCGTTTGCGATGGGGTCTAGCCTGACGTGCTCGGGCGTCGTCTGGGCCCTGCTGTCCCTGCTGTGCGCCGCCGCCTCCTGCGTCGGCTTCTTCATGCCCTACTGGCTGCTGGGGACGCAGATGGACAAGCCCGTGTCCTTCGGCACCTTCCGCCGCTGCTCCTACCCGGTGAGGGACGAGGAGAGGCAGATCACGGTGATGCTGGAGCAGTGCGGGCGCTACGCCTCCTTCCACGGGATCCCCAGCCTGGAGTGGAGGATCTGCACGGTGGTGACGGGCGTGGGCTGCGGCCTCCTCCTGCTGGTGGCGCTCACGGCTCTGATGGGCTGCTGCATCTCTGACCTCATCTCGCGCACGATCGGCCGCGTGGCCGGCGGCATCCAGTTTGTTGGAGGTGAGCACGTCGATGTCGGGTTGTGACGTGCATATGCTTCACATACAAAAAGTCAAAGAAAACATCTTTATATTCAAGAAAGTTTGCATAATACATATGATTTTACTAATTTTGTCCCATAACTGGCATATTTTCTTTTGAACTTGGCTCAGCCAAAGTGAAACAGTAAGTGACATCAAAGAGGAACTTTTTAACAAAGAAAACTCTCTGGTCTTTGTTTATTGAAACAATATTATTTGAACTATAGTCTTCTTTATCTCTCTCTGATAGTGACTCAAAATAATCTTTTTAAGCATCAGATTCTTCTCTACAGTCTGTGTTGTTGGCTGTTGTAGCAACGCTCTGTTTACATGCAGACGTTCCCCTTTGACATCACTTCCTGTTCCTTTACAGGCAAATATCTCAACAACTGTTCATCTCAGCGACATGAAATTTCTTTTGCAATATTTTATCAATGTCCTCTTTCTAAAAATGCATTCATATGTAGTACAAAAAATTTGACGTCACAGGCCCTTTAATGTTTCTACCTGTGCTTACCGGCGTCTCCGGTGTGAATACGAGCTTTAAATCTGTAAACTTCTCTCAGTGCGTTTTGCTGTTTATTATAAACCCCAGAATGAACAAAAAGAAAAAAATTGTGTAGGTCTTCTGGACGGGTTCTTCTCTAATGAAACGTTTCGTCTCTCCTCCAAGAGACTTCTTCAGTCTGAGAGTTTCAGGCAAAATTCAGGCTTTTAAGCCCTGCCTCCATGTGACTGATAGATCACATGGCTATCGTTGACACCTAATTAACACCTATTGTTAACAGGGGGTGGAGTGATACTGGCAATAGTAGCACTGTAGGAGGGGGACAACTGAAAACGGAGGCCTCCACCTTTGTTTAATGATGACGGTCTTTCTTCACAAAAATGGCTTCTTTTACTCCTCTCTAAAACCAGCGTTCCTCTCTATCAAGAATGAGAACATCCTCATCTCTGAAAGAGTGACCGCTGGCCTGTAAATGAGTGAAAACTGCAGAGTTCTGGCCATTAGATGTAGCTCGTCTGTGTTGGGACATTCTTTTGAACAGTGGTTGCTTTGTTTCCCCGATGTATAACTGGTCGCAGTCCTCCTGGCACTTAACAGCATATACAACATTGCTCTGTTTGTGCCGGGGCACCGGATCTTTGGGGTGAACCAGCCTTTGCCGTAATGTGTTTTGGGGTTTGAAAGCCACTGGGACATCATGTTTAGAAAATAAACGTCTCAGTTTCTCCGAAACACCCGCAACATACGGAATAACCACTGGTTTGGGTCTGGGTTTGGGGTCTTCATTTTCACCTGAAGGTTGCATGGAATCCTGTCTGTGTTTCCTGTCTGCTTTCAGGAAMGCCCAGTCAGGATAACCACACTGCTCCAGGGCCTGTCGTGTGTGTGATTTCTCTTTCTGCCTGGCTCCTGGGTTTGTAGGGGCACTGTCTGCTCTGTGGTACAGAGTCCTGATCACTCCTAACTTGTGTTCCAGTGGGTGGTGGGAGTCAAAACGCAAATATTGGTCTGTGTGGGTGGGCTTACGATAHACGCCAGTTTCCAACCGTCCTCCATCCGAAACCGAGACATCGCAATCCAGGAACGCCAACCTGCCATTTTTTACATCCTCTCGTGTGGACTTAATATATTCATCCACAGAGTTGAATAATGAACTTTCATTATTCAACTCTGAATAATGAACAACCAGAATGAACAAAGTTTTAATTTAGTTTAGCTCAAACTCAACACGAAACAAAACCCCGTTGAGAAACAAGCTCCATAAATATGGCAGTGCTTTTCTCTGGCCACCAGCCCTGCTGTCCTCACAGAAAAAAAAGCCGTGTTTTCCTCTGAATCTCAGGAAATGAAAAGTCTCCCAGAGAGCTCTTGGTTGTCAGACGTTCTGAAGGCGAGTCTTTTCATTTTTTTTTATTTTGTTTTGTTTTGTTTTTTTACTTGTAAAACTTTAAAGCAACACTCACAGGCTTCTGCACATTGGAATTCAGCGTAATTGTTTCAAACGTGCTTTAAAGCATCAAGCTGGATTCTTAATTAAACATCAGTTGTTGTGTTTGGCTTTGCTTTGTTGTTTTTGTTTTTCTTTAAAGCTTCAAACGGACTCTTGCAACATGTAGCAAGAGAGAGTGTATTTTCTGTAAAAACGCAGCGTGAAAAACGATGAATGACTTTAGTAAAATACAATATAACTAATTGTTTACTGAAAAGTTAAGGTTGTAACAAGTAGAACAGACGTTAAATCAGCAAAACAGTAGCTAAAAGCTCTAATTTGGCAAAACGGTAGCTAACATGAGCTAAACTGTACCTGAAATTAGCAAGACTGTAACTACAAGTGAAAAGCATCAAATGAAGATAAAAAAACATGTTTTTGAAAGAACTGAAGAGATCTCATCAATATACAGTATTTTTATGGGAAATTTTACTTGAAGCAAAGGGTTTTTTTTTAAAGTTGGAAAAAATCAAAAGTCATCGCTCACTATTCCTGATCGATCTGAACGTTTGGATATGTGTGTGGTGAAAAAGCAGAAAGTAGGCAGAAATAATGAGTCCGAACAAACGTAAGAAAGAAACTAAATAAGAAAGCCACGTGTTAATGCTGACTCAGCATTATTACTATACTTTGATGCAGAAAAGAAACAAAAAAAAAAAAACATTTTCTTTGCACTATAAAAACTGTCCATCTAACCAAGTTTTAAAATCTTTATAAGTTTCTTGAAATCAGAAAAAAATTGAGTAAAATCAAGTATTTCAAGAATCTTCCCAAGTCTAATAAATTTCTCACTCCAGTGGCAGAGTGTTTCACTTAATTTGAGTCAAATTTCCGGGCTAAAAAGACAAATAATCTTACACATTCTGTTCTTGTTTAGTAAACCAGTCTTAAAACGAGATCAAAGTATAAAAGTTTAAAACTTGGTTAGGTGGACAGTTTTTGCAGTGAAATAAATAAACTATATACAAGATGCTGACTCAGCATTAATACAGTAGTTTGATGCAGAAGATAATCTTTTTTTTACAGATCAGGCTTTGCATCTCTGCAAAAAACATTTCTTACCTTTTTTTTTATGAGATTCTGGCAATGATTCATAACTTTTGTTTGGACTTGAATGAAGTCATGGAAAATCATCGGGGCCTCGTTTCAGTTCTGCTCTGTATTGGAGTCAGATGTGGCCCCTAAAGTTAGGAAAACAGCCCACACTTGTCATTTTTTAAATTAAATGTAATTTTTTTTACAGTAACACAGTGCTGTGTCCAGCCTGCAGAAGCTGTTTGTTTGTTTGTTTGTTTGTTTGTTTGCGGGCTCCGGTGCGGCTCGGCACCAGCTTTGTTTACGTGTTGGTTTTGCACACGTGCTCTCCTGGGACGTGTGAGGTCTGCGGGAAGCCTTCCACCGAAGCTGCAGATTTCTCTGCCCCAGTTTTAAGAAAGCTGTGGAGCTCCAGCCCTCTCATTAGCTGGAAAGACGTTTGCTTGCATACCGCGGCTCGCCACTCTGCAGTTTACGATCCCCCATCACTTCAGCTTGGATTAAAAAAAAAAAAAAAACGGGACGGAGAAGCAGGTTGCAAGCAGATTTGATGGAGCTGCCGGGCTTTTTAGAAGAAAAACCAAAAAATAAAAAAATCTAGAGGAGTACCTCAGCACTCCGTGTCCTAATTCTAAAAGGCTTATAGCTTCTTAGGAACATCAGCATTAATGATGTATAATAAGGAGGATGATTAAGGTGAAGCCTGGTTGGGTTACTCAGAAACCTACCCTTTTATATACAGGAAGCTTCTTTTAAGCCTCACACGCAGCGTTACAGCTAGCTGCTATATTTGCTTGTAGGATTAAAAAGAATTTCTGTCTGTCTCTCTTGCACTTTTCTTTTTAGCCAGACTCACAAATCCAGACACACATGAACTTAGACAGCGGAGAAACCGAAGAAAGCCTACGTTACAATACAAGAGACGCCGCTCGGGTCTTTTCATCTTGAATGCTAGCGAGCCAAAGGGCAGAGATGTCTCAGAAGGGCTAATTGGAAGTGACACAACTGAGAAGCTCAGTGGGCTGTTGCGTGTATTGTCTTCTGTCACCTACAAAAAAAAAAGTGCAAAATAAAATCCTCAGCGGAGAGAAAAGAGGAAAAACATACCCGATGATTGAAACGTTTGGCATTCCCTTCTTATTAACGCAGAATCTGGTTAATAAATAAAGATCTGCGCAGGAAGCAGCCGGAGTGGGGGCTGAGAAGTGTGATCAATTCTCGGTGATTTGAAAAAAAAAAAAAAGGAACAGGGAGAGAAAGCAAATGTGACGAAGAGCAGGAGCGAAGTGAGCCTCGTGGTTCGGTGTTTGACCACAGTGGCGTGTCCCTTTTGTGTTTTCTCTCATCCTGTTGTGGACCACTAATGAAGAGCGTTCTGCCAGTGGAGAGGGGCAGAAGCCTGTGGGCCGCCTGCGGGAAAATAAAATACCAACTTGTAATTTAGCTCAGCTCCCATGAACCAGATTAAAGGTGGAAGGATTTATCAGAGACTTATCTCATTAGCTGCTGCCCTGTCAAAAAAACAGCTTCTTGCAAAAGCTGTTTTTGTTGTTGGAGCTGTTGTTAGTCACTTTTTTTCGTTCTTTTTACAGTTCACTAAAGAGAAAGTTGTTTTAGAGGTCTTAAATTGCTAAAGCCGTTGAACTTTTTTTTTACAACAGAGTTTTAGTTTCAAACTGTTTTGGCCCAGAAATCAAAGGTTTAAAGGAGGGGTGTTAAGTAAAATATATTTTTAGCTTTATATCATGTTATAATGTCATTCCCTCATCAAAAACATACCCAGAGTGTTGCTCTGACTCGTTCAATCCCTGAATTTCCTGTGGTAGTCATGTGGAGCTGCCTTAACGTTTGCTGGTACAAAGCTCCGCCCATTTACCCAAAGCTCCTCCCTGGAGCTCAGTACCCAGCCAAGCTCTCGCCTCACAGAGCACCCCTGCTCTGTAGCATT